TCATACATTTCAGTACTTTTTGGGAGTTTCTTGTCTTCTTTTTTTTTCAATAGTGAGTTTGAGCATTGGGTTTTATAGCATCTCATTGCCATTCAAATATTTCCATTTATCATGGATGAAAATATTCACTGCTGAATTAGAGCCAGATAGCCCTCATGCAGCTTTGCATGAAATTCAAAACAAACAAACATACAACTTTCAATGAAAATAACGGACCAAAAAAATGGGTGAAATCACTCATTTTGTTATGTAAAATACATAGGGACCTCAGCAGTAATTAGTGGAGTTAACTGCAATATTGATTGTATTTTTATTTACAGTTTTTAGTGTTATTAGGAATCTATATCCATTAGATCATACACCTACAACAATTTGTTGCATAAATAGTTTAGAAAATTTTTTAAAAAAACTGATGGGGCCCATAGCAACACAATCTTAGGCAATATTTTTCTTATTTATTTTACCAGGGGTTGTTTCAGGGTGACACTGGTCAGCTGATGACGAATTCTCCTGGGTCAGTAATGGTCTTCCTTCCTGTTGATAAACTAGCTGGCATGCTGATGCATTTACTGGCTGTGGCATTTAAAGGTTTAGGTCATCCTTCAAGAACTGAACATCAATATTGTAAAAGCTCACTCTTTCCTCAAGATTTAAAGAACCAAGAAGAAACCCAGCAGTGGGTTCTGGATGTTGTGAGGTACAGTGAAGAACATTTTAATTACCAGTGTACTTCCTGTTTTTAGTTTCACGTTTTGTAAAACTAAGAAATGGTCAACAGAATTTTTTTTGCTTTTGATTAACCTCTTCTATATTGGTAATTTTAGTTTTAAAACTGTGTTAAAGAATGTGTCATTGTTGTTTTATAAATGGTTGCACTTGACAAAGAAAATTGCTTGTCTGAATAAAACATGTTAATGTTTATTTATCGGCCTGCCTAAAGAAGTAAATTTTTAGTTGCATTGGAGTCACAATAATAAAGTGTTGATAACTGCATTGATTAACAATAAATGAAGTGATGAGTTTGTTTGCTGCTTTCTGGTAGTCAGTTTTATTCATTCATTTTCATTTGGCTTGGAAATTTTGTTTTCCATATATCTTCTTTATTTTATGATAATTCTAATGCAGTAGAATAAAGAATTGCATAGGATGCAAGCCATGGGTAGAAGTTACAGTGCCAGGAGCTCTTCACTCTATGTAAGTGAATGTAATCTTATAAGGTCATTGTGTTTGTAGGGGGAAAAACTAATAGTTACCTGATTAAGTTAAAATATTATCATCACAAAAATACCACAAAGTAATTTAGTCTCAAAATGAGGTTTTCAGTAACAATATAAACCAATGTAATATTTAAAATAGTAAAAGACTGAATCCCATTTAACCGAGCAGATGTTTAGCAGTGAGATATAGTGGTTAGTGTGGACTATAAGCTGAAAGATGTTCTATAAGCTTTTTATTATTGTTTAAAGTTTTCATTGCTGACTGAAGTATAGCAACCATTTGTAATGAAAATGACAAACAACTTTAGATAAGTTTTTTTTTATTTGACCTGGCATTTTGGCTTACACATTTTTTAAGGGTCTATAAATGTCACAGGCTACAAAACTGATTTTAATTTATAGTAAATGAAAATAATATAAAACTACAACAATATTAAAGAATGGCACTCAGTGAAGTGTACTGAATGTATTGTTGAACAGGTTTGAGTCACTGATTATAAAAGTAAATGTTAAAAAATAATAATAAGTCTTACATGAAATAATAATAGATTTATAAGGGCCAGGCATTGTATGTGTTAATGGAAGGGTGGTTGGATTGAATCAAAAGAGATTCCTTAAATTTCCTGTCAAGAAAGTTGTCACAAATCTATAAAATTTTGATCTGATAAGGTGTCTCGTTAATTATGCTGTGTACGTTGATTTAATGTTCAGTAGTGGCTTCTTTGTTGTCAGTATTTGCAGTGTATGTTGATTTAATGTTCAGCAGTGGCTTCTTTGTTGTCAGTATTTGCAGTGGCATGTATTTTGTACCTCTGAAACAATCATGTATTGGATGACTGGATTCATCAACATATGTAGCTGAACACTGTGTACATGTCATTTCATAGATAGTGTTCCTAATTGTGCAAGATTTCTCTCAGCCATTGGTTTTACCAAAGCACTTTCTGTGGTTGCATGGAGTGTTTTTATTGAAGGCTGAATGAGTAAGTATATCCTTCATTTTTACCTGGATTTTGTATGATGTGGATATTCAAACTAGATCTTCTAATTGCTTGATGCAGATGAGTGGTTAAAGGTTTATCCACAAAGGTCATAATCCATAAAACAGTGTTCTGATACAGTACTTCCCTCTTCTCATAGGATTAGCTATTCTTGTTCATTGCTGCCCTCTATATGCAAACGTTTTTCCTGCACATGCTACATCAAATGATTCCAATGTGTCTGTCATGCAAATCGTCATGTGTCACTTCTCCACCAATAGGAGAATAGTACACTCACTTGATGCATATGACTCCCTCTATGCGCCTCTACCAAACTATCAATTCTCGTTTAGCAGAGGTTACACTCGGATGTTTTTCTTTTTTCATCTTGATTAGTGTTTGAGATTGAATTAATTCTCAAAGTGGTTTCATTTTACATACTAATTTTTTTTAAGCATTCAGGTTCAATTATCCTTGTTCTAGTCACATTTATTTCTTACTTCAAATGCTTTTCTTGACTGACACAACATGAATTCTGAAGCTAATGTCATCACTTTGGTTTTTCCCCTGTCCTCAGTTGGGCGATGTTGTTAGTATGCCTCATCCCCCACGGGCTTTGGATCAGTCTGCCCTTGCACATCATAGGACTGACTGTCTGTTTCTGAACCAACAACTGTTGAATTCAGTTTCACCCATTTGGAGAGCATCCGAAGCTCCTGTTAGTCTCACCTGTGCCAAATTTTCCCACCTCCATCTTACCCTCACGACTCTTTTGGAGTGCCTTTTCACAATCCATCTCCTATCTGAGGCTCTTCACAGAAATCCTGAGGGATTTTCTGGGGTATCCTCTCCCTCCTTACCTCTATGTTGGCTCCTTTGTTGTCTTCGGCTCTGGCTTTACAAATGCGGTTTATCTGTTTTTGGGACATTTTAGGTTGTGATGCTGTTTTATCGAGAACCTGTTTACCTGCTCCTTATCTCCGGGATTTGCATATGGCTCGATTTTTAAGACATTTAGTCTTTGATACGGTCCCAGAGCTCTTGGAATTTCAGGTGGCATTTGTCCTGCAACAATCTACTCTTTCCCATCTGGTAGCCCATTTATCTCAGTTGGATCCGAGTGTGGAGCTGATTCTGGTTTCCTGTCCTTCCCTATACCTGTCCCTCCTTCTCTCAGTGCCACAGGTCCTCATTTATCTTGATGATGCACTATAGCTGCCACCAGTTCTGGTGACTACCTGGTAGGTTTGTGCCCAGAGGGAGCTCAACTTGCGACCTTCGTTCATTGGTGGCATCCTTTCATCACTGATGTTTGGGTTCCTCAGGTTTTATCAGAGGGCCTCAACATTCCTTTTCTTGTCTCACCTACCTTGTCCCATGTATTTGTTTCCTTCCCTTCTCCTTGGGATCCCATAACTTGCCAACATCTATTAAAGGTGGTACAGGACCTCCTCACCCACCAGGCTATCAAACCTGTTCCACATCATTCACTGGGGTTTTACTCCCATCTGTTTGTTGTTCCCAAAAAGACTGGTAACTGGAGAACTGTAGGCCTGTCATTAATCTGTCCTGCCTCAATTGATTTGTTCACCTCACACATTTCTCCATGAAGTCCTACCTCACTCTTTAGTGGGCATTTTCTCTGAGTCTCTGAGTCTGGATGACCAAGATGAATGTCTCCAATGCTTATCTGCATATTCCCATCTTAGAATGATCTCATCCTTATCTTTGGTTCGTCCATCAAGGGGTGGTGTACCAATTTGACTGATCTTGTAACCACAAAAAAAAAATCTAAATAAATCTAAATTACCCTTTTTCTCTTTCTAGAATGACTTAAAATTGTAACATGTAACCTAAGTAGCTCTAAGTTCATAACAGTATACATCTATTTATACATAAATTGTATTGTTTTATTACCTTTTGAACCATGTCTAACTACTATTCGTGCCATTATATGTTGTAAATCCCTTTAGGAACATGGGGCTCACGTTACACTATTGAATTATGTTACAAGCTGCTCGTGTGCATGTCTCGTGAAACATTTTTATTATGTTATTATTAATTTTATTTAATCTAACTAACCTACAAAGATCCCTATCTTTACATTTTATTTACTTTTTTAATAATGTATAAAGAATGAACATGAAAAACAAGAAATAAATTACTGTACTTACCTGACTCTTCTTTTTTTTTCTTTTTTTTTGCTATTGACTGTCGATGATGCTTAACCCCACTTTTTTATTTTAATGGTAGTAATGCACTAAATAATTTTTATTTAATTCAGTAATGCACCAAAGAACAGAATAATAATAACGTGCAAAAAGCAGACAGTTTCCTCTAACTATTACAGTTTGTCTGGCTCTCTAACTGTGCGACAAGAGCTGTAACAAATTCATTGAAGCTAGTCGTTATCTTTCATGTGGGAACTAAGCTTGTACTAACAGAGAAATTGACAATTCTTTGTACAGAAAACACGTAATGTAATATGTCATTTGATAGATGAAACATTGGCTTTCTATTGGTTATACATAATATAGAATTAAATGTAAGAGAGAACTAATAACAAATCCTGAAAGAGAGGATGTGACAGGAGGAGGAATATTTTCTATTTGATAGCTTTAAAACCAAACAAAATTGAAGGCTATAAAAATTATGGTTTCTCTGGGAAATGACGATTTTATAGTGAGTAATTTACTTTAAATTTCTTACGTATTGAAGGGGTGGTGAATAAAATAGAGAAAAGAGGATGTTTAGAGAAAATATGTCACATTTCTCATGCTAGGAGGAAATTCAGGATTTTTAAAAATATTGCCTTGTAAAATTGAGAACTTAACTGATATACTATTAAATATGGATTATTAGCTACCGTTTTATTCTATACTAATTGGTATAACATAAAAAAAAAGTTTCTATAAAACCCAATGCTCAAACTCACTATTGAAAAAAAAAGAAGACAAGAAACTCCCAAAAAGTACTGAAATGTATGAAGAAAAATTCATTACACTATTGATTATCACAATTGTATCCAGAGCTTAAAATAACTGTATCCTTTTTGTCAAAGTACACACAGGCAGGTTCAATTACTTTAGAACACCCTTTGACAAGACAAATTATTCTCCTCTATCTTTGTTATTACAATACAAGCTGTAAAACTCAATTTAGAAATTGTCGTTTATGGCTAATTCCCACGCAGTCTAAGTTCACTTTTACCTTCACTAACTTAGTCATCTACATATATATATATATATATATTGTTTGACTGAGGTCTAGAACTTTCTACAAACTACAAGACATCATGATGTAACAGCACTCACTTAACCCTATCTGCCTGTGCATCATTAACTAAGCATTTCATGAGGTTTTAGTGATTTACATTCAAAATTTTATTTATCTCATTGCCATTCAAATATTTCCATTTATCATGGATGAAAATATTTCAGCACTTTGCTGTTTCCCCTTCATCTGTAGTGAACTAAGGAAGTGATTTTTCAAAGTTTCCCTTGAGCTTTGTATGAACCATAGTAATTCTTGCCATGTTATGATGTAATCATCACTTGTGTTGCTTTTGTTTGATGTTAGTGGTTCAATTACAGATAATGTGAGTGGTGAGACTATCTTAAATACTGTATCTTTTATGTAAAGTGTGTTTTAAATGGATACTTAACTGTACATGACAAAACCTCACTTCTCATTACACCTAGAAAGATGGTTTCAGATTTAACAGATTTTCTGGAAAGGTATTGTCAGATTTAATTGGTTTTTTTTATATAAATAGGAATTTGTTTGGCACCAAAGTGAACCAGGTGGGTATCTGATAGTTTCAGTGGAAGGCTTAAATTGCTGATGTCTGGCTACATACACTAGAAAAACAAATCACTGAAGTCTCCTTAGTAAAGGTACTTCTTGTAGAACATTTTAAAAATGTTGACGATATGAGTTGTGTGAATTCCATGAAAAATAAAACATTTTGTAAGTAATGAAACATTTTCTGTAATATATTACCCTATTATTGCTTGTGGAAGAAATTAATCTGTTGGTAATGCAAAATCTTGTGTATCTGGCTGTACACAGTAAAACATGTTGCATTCTGCCGTGTTTCTTACTGTACCAAATATCATAAATATTAACATAAAATTAAATAAAATGTATTTATTTTTTCTATAGCTACACTGTCAGTATAGGTGTTGTGGACAAACTATGCCAATACCATAATATTGTGCGTAGTCCTATAGATGGGTGCCAAGATGTACCAGAGTTTTTGCTTCAGAGTCTGGATTTTCTGACTTCTTTAGCAGACCTTTTGGCAATGAGGTGAGACATTTATTGTATGGTAGAACTCTGAATAAATTAGTATAAGATTTAAGTAAGGATCTATGTCAAGCAGAATTAAATCCTTTAGAAATGAGACAACTATTTTAATATAGTTTGTGTATCATGATTAGTTATTGTACCATTTGAATATATGATAATAAGTAATTGTATAGCATTCATCTTCACAATAAGATGCCATTTGATCTCAGTAATGATTTTCAGGAAAAAAATACACTTATTCCACTTGATTTGTAAGTAATAATGACTGAACACAACTGACTGAACTTCAAGTTTGTGTCTTTATTTCTTGAAGAAATTTAATATTTGAAATGACATATTTGAAAATAGCTTTTTTTTTTCCAGACATGAAAAGATATTTGAGAAGAAGAGACCAGAAGATATCACCCAGTTAGTTGCCACATTTCAAGTAACAGAATTGGTTGGAATAGTGTCTCTGCTGTATGGTATGTTGCTGCATTCTGGAGCACCCTCACGTGGTGATACTCCACCACCTGAACTACCACATCAAACAGTAATGGTGACAGTGGCAGCATTAAAACTTTTGAACCAGATAGCTGTTCTTGATCTCCAAATGGTCCAGGTAAGCACTAAAACTATTGAAACAGATGGCTTTTCTTGATCTCAAGATGGTCCAGGTAAGCACTAAAACTGTTGAAACAGATGGCTTTTCTTGATCTCAAGATGGTCCAGGTAAGCACTAAAACTGTTGAAACAGATGGCTTTTCTTGATCTCAAGATGGTCCAGGTAAGCACTAAAACTGTTGAAACAGATGGCTTTTCTTGATCTCAAGATGGTCCAGGTAAGTACTCAAACTATTGAAGGAAATGGCTATTCTTAATCCTCAAGTTGTCCAGGTGTGCACTAAAGCTGTGAACCAGATCACTGTTTTGATCTCCATATAGTCCAGATAACATGAAAACTGTTGAACCAGATGATTGTTGTGATTTCCAGGGGGTCCAGATAACATGAAAACTGTTAAACCAGATGGCTGTTCTTAATCTCAAAGTGGTCCAAGTAAGCACTGAAACTGTTGAACCAGTTGAATGTTTTGATCTCCAGATGGTCTAGGTAAGTACTAAAACTGTTGAACCAGATGGCTGTTCTTAATCTCGAAGTGGTCCAAGTAAGCACTGAAACTGTTGAACCAGTTGAATGTTTTGATCTCCAGATGGTCTAGTTAAGTACTAAAACTGTTGAACCAGATGATTGTTTTGATCTCCAGATGGTCTAGCTAAGAACTAAAACTGTTAAATTAGATGGCTGTTCATGTTCTCCATGTGGTCCAGGTAAGCACTAAAACTGTTTAATTAGTTTAGTATTCTTTTCGTACTAAATCACATTAGAGACACAATGGTATTCTAGTTGTAGTAAGTCACATTATAGGCAGACTTGTATTTGAACAATATTACCCAATATGTATTTTTTCATTTTAATTTTGGGGTCTGCAATTTGTAATCTTTAAAACAAACAAAAGATTGTTACACTACCCTTGCTATGTGTTGGAGGGAAATCGGTAAAAGTATTTCTTATAGCATGTTTATTGGAGTATTTTAACTTAACTAGACCTAACCCTGTATTTGATACTGCATGTGGACTGTGTGTCTGATGAAGCCAGCTACTGAAATAGTGGACAGTAATAAATGACAATTTTAAAATAATAAATATACAATGTATACATTGTATATTTATTATTTTTAACATTATGCACAAGTGCCAATATAAATATATATATATATAATGACAATTTTGTTTGGAGTAATATAATATTGCTTTGTACAAGTAGAAATATTTTAAACCTTTTTAAGTATGACAAGCTTTAAGATGCAAATGTAACCTTGTTAGCTAAGTTTTTAAAAGTCAGTTTTGTTTTCAATACATCAAATAATGTCCTGTGAAGAAGATAACATGTCCATAAGTATTATTAGAAATTGCTTAATGTAAAAAATATTTCTAGATCAAAATCAGTTCTTATGTATGATAATGTGAGTGGTTAAATGTAACATTTGTGTCTGGAGAAATATAATATTTTATGGTGATTAAGAATACCTTATTTTAAGTTACTGCATAAAATTTAATATTAGGACAGCTTTCTGATGCTATTGATAACATTAAGGTTTTAAAGACAAAACAAGATGGATATCCACTTATATATCATTATTGTAGCTTAACATTGGTTGATTTTTTACACTACAGTGAACCTGATAATCCTTTTTGTGCTATAAAACTTTTTTTAGTAAATTTATTTATTATTTTTGTTTTGTAATTTTAAGCTGTTGGAATAGTTAATTGAGTATTGTTCAGCATTAAAAAATTGTTAAACCTATTAGAGCAAGTTATAAAATGTTTTCAGTATTATTTCATGTAAATAAATGAAATGATTTGAGGAAGGTTTTTCAGAAGATACACTTTTAATGTTCTACTGTAGTTTGTTAGATGTGGTATACTTTATGCTTATAATACATTTTTGCTTCTTGTAAGATGATTTGTCAAGGTTTTTTGGACAAAGAGGAATGGTTTTTGTTTCTCCATTGTTGCAGTATTCCCCTCTGATGGATTAACAGCCAAGTCATGGGAATTATTAAATTATCTTTTAATAAAATATTTGAGTAAAAATTATGAAAGTAACATATATATACACACACACACATATATATATGTGTGGTGTGTGTATGATTTACTTTCTTTTGAATAGTTTCTTCAGTTTTTCAGTACTTCAGGAATTATTTGTTTTTTTAATGATTAAAAAACAATTTAAGGTAAAAGCACTGGTTAATTAAAGATTAACTTATATAATCATCTTCTGTAGTGTCTAAAAAATGGCTTTTTGTAAGGCTTCATGCTTATTTATAGCTTTTTTGCTTCACTTTTATAGAGTGTTCTCGGAGGAGAAGGTCTATCTTTGCAGCTGCGACATATTGCCAGCTACCTGATATGGTATTGTTCCCACTGGGAACTGCAAGACCTTTTACATGAAGTTGTTCTTATGGTTGGATACTTTACTGTCCTAAACCTTGATAACCAGGTAGGAACAGGAGGATAACCATTAAGGTTTTGAAATTCAAATTTTAGCGAAACACTGGCTTCCAAATCCTAGAATACATTTCATTATTGTTCAATGTAATTAGAGGTCTCTATTAACTAAAACATTTGTTTCCAGCTGAATATTATTTTAGGTGGGAAAGAAACCATACCCTTATTTTGTTTTGGAAAATACTATATTTTTGTTTAATAATTGCTATAAAATGAGATATTTTGCTTCTGAAGAAAATATGGTATCTCTGGAACTTGATGTAAACAATCATTTTCTTTCTGTATTAGTCAATGTTTAAATTATGATACTTAGAAGAATAATCTCATGCATATTACTAGACGATCCTTCAGTCAGGACAGCAGCCTACAATCCTCCAACAACTGTGTGCTCTACCCTTCCAGTATTTTAGTGATTCCCAGCTTATGACTTTATTATATCCCACACTTATTTCTTGCTGTCATGATAACAGTCACAATAGGGCTATCTTGGAACAGGAGATGAGTCCAGAGCTGTTAGCAAATTATATAGAAGTAAGTAGTTTGGTGATACTTTAAAATAATTTTGAATTGGTTGTCCTCATGAGTCTTAGTTGTTTGTTTTTTTTCAATTTTGAAATAAAATCTTTAAAGTAGTCCTTTTATTGCCCTGTGATAACTTGCATGCCTGTTAGGCACACTAAAAAACATTACATTTTGTTGTTATTTAGTTCAGAAAAAGTTTCTTATCTTACAGAGAGTAAAACCATATGTTCTCTTCAGCTATAACTGCTTAATTATTTCAGTTTTAGAGTACATAATCATGTTTGATTATTGATTTTAACAAACTTCAGTATATAACTCAGTAGGTAGTGATAATTTGAAAAGTTAAAAATTGTCTTGGACCAAACAAAATAAATGTTTAATCTAATTTCCCATACTGATACTAACTTCACCTATATGGTAAGATATGATATCCTATAACCTGAGCACTTTCGAAAAATGGATCTTTCTTCTTCAGTTTGACTGAAGAAAAAAGGTCCACCTCTTGAAAGTGCTTGTGTTATAGGATATTATATTTTTGTGTTAAATGAACTTCTTGAACTTATGTGTTTTTCTAACATCATGAATTGACCTGTATGCTAATATTTATTAAGTTTTTAAATTTCTTTAATAAAATTTGAATGTTTGAAATATTTTTCGCTCCACAAATGTAGGAATCTCTAAAGTGTTTGTATGTTTTTATACAAATTTGTCACTAAGAAGGAAGATATTATTGATTAGAAATTTGAGTGTACTGTTAATGCTTGGAGATGGCTTGAATGGGTAGTGAAAAAAACTTTGATATAAGTTTAACATAACAGCAAATGTACAATGTTTCAACAAGGTTTTGTCATCATCAGGTACAAGTA